GATTTTCCAATACCGAGCGATCTTAGAAATTTCCAGACTTTTGGAGAGTCTTCAATACTGACAGAATTGTGAATGTGACGACGTAATGCATCCCTACACACCTTATTGCAGCGATTACGAATTTTGATATAAGTTTCTTTGTTATGATCACTTGGCCGACATTTATACCTACTTTTAGCAGAAGCTTTTTTGTGCATTAATAATTTTATATCATCCGTAAGCCAGGGTGCAGGAATATGCTTTAATTTAACGGGTCGAAAAGGTGCATGCTTGTCATATAATTTTATGACCAATGTATTAAAATTGGCCACCTGCTCATCCACAGTTGTTGCAGAAAATACAGGCGACCAATCAATATCAGTAGCGTCTAGAAGAAACGCTTCACGATTCATGCCACTAAAATTACGCTGAAGAATAATTTTAGGCTTAGATTTAGGAGGACGAATTTTATAGGACAAGTAGATAAGATCATGGTAAGAAAAGGCGTCAGCCGAACATTGACCATGCTTAGCAACATACTGGGGTGTAGATACAATTATTAAATCGAGAAGAGTTGGGATACAATTTGGGTAATGGTGGGTGGCACTAAGTGGAAGAGTATGCATGTTGCTAGCACTAACTAAAGATTGGAGAGATAAAGTACGGTGATCATTTTTGAGGAGACAAGTATTAAAGTCACCCATTATAATTGTATGGCTGTAAGAGGGTGCAAAGGTGTCCAACAGGGTTTCAAAAGAAGTAAAATAGTTAATATTTAATGAAGGACAATAATAAACTCCGAGAAGAATCTTTGTGTGTGATAGAAGAATCTCCACCAGTAGATGTTCACCAGCATTAGAAGGAGGCGGTTGAACTGAAGTGCTAATAACAGTGTAGGAAATATGTTCACGTAGGTAAATAGCAACTCCACCACCCCCTGACCCAATGCGGTCATTTCGTATAAGACGAAAGCCAGGCAATACATATGAAGAGGACGGTAGACTTGGTTTCAACCATGACTCTGAGATTAAGACTGCATGTAGGTTTGAGTGGTTAAGTGACGCCAGCATGTCAGAATAATGAGCCGGAATACTTTGGGCGTTGATATGGATGGCGTTAAAATTCTTCGCAACATCAGAAAATTGATTTTCAAGGACATCAGAAAGAGACGGAATACTACTAAAACTGTTATTGGAACTATTGCACTCGTCAGACGATAATGAGAAATAAGGCTCATTGTCACTGTTTGTACTTACATTTGACATGATAATAATATTGATAAAAGGTATGTATACTCAATATATATATAAATATCTATGAACAAAAATATATATATAAAACAAAAGACTGAACTAATAACTTATAAGTTACAAACTCCACCTGCCGGTTGAAATACGAAAAAAAAAAAAAAAACAAAACTTGTACACTAACAGATTGAGGTAAAATGAGATTTGAAAAATAAATAAATATAAATGTACTTTAAAAAGAAAAAAAAATTGAAAAACTAAACGCTTTGACAATACAAAATAAAATAACAGGTACATATCACAACATCACAATCATAAAAGATTATAAATTAAAAAAAAAAAAAAACAATATTATGGCTGTATAACCTGTTAATGCTTTGCCTTAAACAATAGATGACAATACATAGGAAAAAAAAACAAATGTTAATGTCATCTTTATGCCAAAACCTGTAATGTTTTGGTTATTTACATTTACCTACTTAGATTCATAAAATTGTGTTTTAACAGTGATTAAATGTAGGTAAACAAGATCAAAATTTAACAGAAAGACGACAAGCAAACAAACAACAAAAAAAAATACCTGGAGAAAAAGTTGTGAAGTAAAACAATAATCAGAAAAGAAAACATGCGTTTAGATTCAAGTTCCTTATGTACTAACATTGCTACTTCTTGGATACTGCGGCTGTCCGTTTACCTCTTGTCGCCACCGTGGGTTCCTTAGAAGTACCAGTATTCTGCACACCAGGCACAGGATTTTTTTCTGGTTCAACAGAGTGCACATTCGGTACGGGAACTTTTCCTAGTTCGGCCGTAGAAGTAATGCGAGCTCGCTTGCCATCAGCACCAATAACAATTACTGTCCCATTTTGAGTGAAACACTTGCCAATACCAAAAGTTGCACGGGCTGCCATAAACGCTTCATGTCGAGTCTTTGTAAGAAACTCCGAGATTGTTACACCAGAACCTTTCAACGACTTCTTGGCATACCAAATTTTATCTCGAACTGCGTAGTCACGCACCTCAAACAAAATGGGACGTGGTTTGTCAGTACCAGGTGTACGACCCATGCGATGACTACGGCTAATGTCCTTAACATTGAAACCAGACATTTTCATCTGATTGACAACCCTGACAACCACCTCAGCTGTATCTTCGCTCTTCTCCTCTGCTACACCATGACACAGCAACATCTTCCGTCGACTCCGCATCTCAATTGTGTCAATTTGAGATGCAAACAAGTTGAGCTGCTGCTGCAGGCTTTGAAGTGCAGTCATTATAAATGAACGGAAAGCCACGAAATCATCCTTCAAGCTGTTGATGTTAGCTGATGGGGCAGCTGCCTGCAATTCACCCTGATATGCATCCATGCGCTGAGTGAACATATGTTGAAGTTTGGATATAGATTCCTGCAAGGCTTCCATGTTTCGTTGAAGTAGTGAGTAGTGCGGAGTGAAAGGTGTCACAAAAAGTGAAGTTGTAGAGAGAAACTGTAGATAACACTCACCGGCAGGTATTGTAAGTAACTTATTCACTTCCCATAAATATTAAGAAATTTGCTCAACTTAGAATATGTTTTTAATAAAATCTAATTTTTAAGCTCTTAAACAGGTGTTTTTATTTCACACCTACCCACAAAGACTATAGTAGAGTATTGTCTAGTAATACTCATGTATTGTGCATTCGAATTATAAAAAGATGTCGTAAGGAACACATTTTTGGTCTCTTACTTCGCTGATGCTGTTATTGTTAGCCAGCATGAAAATCTTGTAAGAATAATAAAAAAACGGATTATGTTTTATTTTTATAAGTAAGAAAAATTCTGCAATGGTTAATGTCTGTCTGTAATGATAGATTTTTTTTTTGTTTCCACGGTAGAACTACGGTAAATATTATGAGATATTTTTGGTATTGATATTGTTTAATTTCAGACCGATTTCAAAAAGGAGGAGGATTTCAATGATGATCCGTAGCGATTTTAGTTGAAAATGCAGATTTATAGAGCTAAGGATTCCATAAAATACAGTGGTTAAATTTTTGTTCTACGACAAATATTGAAGAAGTTATAACCAATGTGTTACCAATGAAGTTATGAATTTTCGGCTGGCCGCGTAGTGACTGTGACGTCACAGAGCTTTTGCGCTCGGGTGCGAGCGTGAGTAGAGACGCTACTGAAATTCGACGGGAGTGAATCACGATCGAGCTCTGTGACGTCACACGTTTCGGCCGGCGGTAACTATTGGCATAAAATTAGTTATTAAATCGCAACAAATTAAGAGATTTCAATGATTTAAAAAGCTTAAATAGCTTATTAGATTATTATAATTTGATTTGAGTTGATTTACTGACCTAGTAATGAGCCTCTTTCGACTGTATTTTTAATGTTTTATTATACCAGGTTCACACGGGGCTATTTTAGTTAATCAACTGCTAAATCGCATGCGATTTGAACCGTCTGAACAGACTTTTAATTAAATTGGAGCATTCAAATTCATGAAAACCAATTGAACGATAAAAGTTTTAATTTTTATTATTTTTAAAGCATGTAACTGCTTGATGTTTAAATCTAAAGAAAATATAACTAGAAAAAATTCCACGCGGACCAGGCAGCAGACGGGACTCGAACCCGCACCCATCGCAATCCGGGCGAATGCACTGACCAATTATGCTACCGCGGCCCTCACGGACCGCGTCGAAATTCCTTCTAGCTATTCTTAAGCTGCAAGGCAGCGCCATCTCTTCGCTATTTCTTCTTTCAAATGTTTAATACTTGTAAAAGTATTCATTTGACATTGTGGGTTTACCTATAATGCGAAGAGATGGCGCTGCCTTGCAGCTTAAGAATAGCTAGAAGGAATTTCGACGCGGTCCGTGAGGGCCGCGGTAGCATAATTGGTCAGTGCATTCGCCCGGATTGCGAAGGGTGCGGGTTCGAGTCCCGTCTGCTGCCTGGTCCGCGTGGAATTTTTTCTAGTTATATTTTCTTTAGATTTAAACATCAAGCAGTTACATGCTTTAAAAATAATAAAAATTATAACTATAATTGCTATTTCTTCTTTCAAATGTTTAATACTTGTAAAAGTATTCATTTGACATTGTGGGTTTACCTATAATGCGAAGAGATGGCGCTGCCTTGCAGCTTAAGAATAGCTAGAAGGAATTTCGACGCGGTCCGTGAGGGCCGCGGTAGCATAATTGGTCAGTGCATTCGCCCGGATTGCGAAGGGTGCGGGTTCGAGTCCCGTCTGCTGCCTGGTCCGCGTGGAATTTTTTCTAGTTATATTTTCTTTAGATAAAAGTTTATCAATTCTAATCACCACGTGTGTACTCGGTATTTACGAGATTTCTCCGTTAATTTTGGGCCGTTTTTTTTTGTAATCGTATTGGTAAACCTGACATGAAAGTAAGATATAGGTAATATGGCAACCTATTATTCCTTTACATATATCTTAAGTACATTTAAAGTTCAATTTATATAATATACTAGCTTCTAGGACTTCGTCCGCGTTAACTTTATTTTTTAGAATACCACAGAAACTGTATCATGTCTTAATGCTGTTAATAAACTATATGCGTACCAAACACCCAAATCTTTTCAGTAGTTTCTGTATCATTGAGTAACAAACATACAAACTTTCTAATTTATAGTATTAGTAGGATGTAGTCGCTTGCTATGGCGGCTACTTAACATCAGACAGGCCACTTGCTTGTTTGCCATCGTTTTTACATAAAAAGGTGATTTGGCTTATAACTAATGGGTATTGTTTTTATTTATAGCTTGGTCTAGTTTGTTTTCGGCTGGTTGGCGGGCCGGACGAGACGCCGGAGCAAGTGGACGAGATGAACAAAAAGCTACTGACGAACATCAACGCATCGGGCAAGATCCACATGGTGCCCGCGAGTGTGCGCGAGCGCTTCGTCATCCGCTTCTGCGTGGTGCAGCAACATGCCACGCGCGAAGATATCGGTGATGCAGACTTGTTTTTTTTTAATATATTTGGATCGAAGTTCCTTTACAGCCGGTTTGGCGGATGGGGGCAAGACGAAAATGTCACAATCTAGCGAGGCAGTAGCTACGCAGTAGGGTGGGTAGCGAAGTGAGCGATCACTAACGGTGGTAGTTGTGGACATGGTTTAACGTTTTGTTTGGCATAGCGATAAAAGGAAACGTGCGGATTTGTGGGTCGGATACTTTTTTTTTAATGGAATTGGAATAGGGAGATTGTGCTATGACATGGTGGGTATTTTGTAAATATTTGTAACTTTGTTCCAATCGAGTGTTCCACGACACTCACGCAATTTTTCATTTGTCATAGCGCTTTCAATTCTATTCGGTAGTTTTCATCGAAACGAAAGCGGATTATTAGCAGTAGACAAATTAATTGACGCTATAGGCAAAAAAATATTAAAGATCTATCCTGACAATACTTGTACGCCAGAAAATGTAACCATTTTTCCAAAGAAATAAACAAATATGTTAATGACATTACTCTTTTCTAATTACAGAGATTGCATGGGATATTATAACGGACTTCGCTACTGAGCTTTTGGAAGGACCAGACAAAGAACGCGTAAGCCAATTTTACTTTTCTGCTTTTCCGGAAAATTACTCACAGCTCTAAAGAAACGATTAATTACTAACACTAATGTATTTCAATATTGAGGCTCTCCCTAGTGGTCAAACCGTTGATTAAATATTTATAAAAAAGGATCCCTAAGAATTTCCTTGCACAGGCGAAAACTTGAGACAACTTTACGGATTCCTCCTTTGTTAATGTAGAAAATTCTTACGGAAAAAGATAAGATATTAACAAAAAAATAAGGAAATTTATAACTCTACCCGATAGGTAGCGCTGAGGTTTTAGTTTCTTTTATATTATTTATATCTGACCGGACAAGGTCTATCCAGTCCGCTAGTAGCATGTTGTCAATAAATATATTGTATGTTTTGATGAGAGGGTCGTACATCTTAGGTAACTATTAGATAGCAGCATAGACCAATAATATATCTATCCATGGTAGCGGAAAACATTTTGAGTAAAACAATTAGTTGCGCAGTACCTAGACGTTTTTGCATATAATATTGCTACTGCGTAGGCTTCGTTGTCTCATTTATACACCAGGATGTTTGCTGGGGACTATACCTACCTTTTGTATGTTTCAGGATTTGAACGAAGAGCGCGCACGTCGCAATCGCGCTGCTCTGGCACACAAGCGGTCGTTCTTCGTCCGCATGGTGAGCGACCCGAAGATCTACAACCCGGCTATCAACAAGACGCCGCCGCCCGCGCCCGTGACGCCCTGCTCGCCACCGCCCGCCGCCGCGCCCACCACGCCCGACACGCCTTCCGACACCGATGTCCAACCACAAACACCGTGAGTGCAGTACTATACGCGCCGCACTGGCGCACAAGCGGTCGATCTTTGTGCGCTTGGTGAGCGACACGAAGATCTACAACCCGGCCATCAACAAGACGCCGCCGCCCCCGCCCGCATCGCCCTTCTCGCCGGCGCCCCCGTCCGTATCGCCCTTCTCGCCGCCACCCGCCGCCGCTCCTACCACGCCCGACACGCTCTCTGACACCGATGACCAACTACAGACACCGTGAGTGCAGTACTATACGCGCCGCGCTGGCGCACAAGCGGTCGATCTTTGTGCGCTTGGTGAGCGACACGAAGATCTACAACCCGGCCATCAACAAGACGCCGCCGCCCACCGCCGCACCGACCACGCCCGACCCGCCTTCCGTCACCGATGTCCAACCACAGACATCGTGAGTACTGTACTATACGCACATATCTGAGTGAGGGCTCGTGACCGTCACTTTTAAGTAATAATTGTACAAGACGTGACGTAGCGTTAGCGACAATTCAGATCAAAAGATCTTTGTAACTCTGTGATAAAATCTACTTGATAAACTAATTGATTGACGAAGAAAAGAAGTTAGTACTTATCCCCATTCAAACCAGGACCCGGAAAATGCGAAGGACGACGCCAAGTCTGTTATTCACTTCCAACTTTTTAAAATACGTGGCTAATAAACTGTAAGTCATTATAAGTGAGTCATCTTCTGATCTTACACCAACAATGTGTACGGGTATTTTTTGCTGTGAATTTCAGTGATAAATAATTTGAAAAAATATTTTTTCAGGAAACAATCGTCGTGGATCAGTTGGCCTCTTGCTTTCTTCTTCCAAAGCGTTGATAACGATGCCAACGATTTACCTCTAAGGTACGTTAACCCCATTAACTGTGAAAGTAGATCATCGATAGGTAGTCATATGTAGTTTCTTTATTGTACTGTTATCAACATTTACTGTGGGTGAGACTTACCAACAAGAACTAGAGTAAGATCCCAAGACTACCAGAGTTTACTTATTTTCTCATGGACAAAATAGGATAATTGAGTAGTATTGGTATGTACAATGAACGTATATAAATTTCAGATATTAGTTGGCACAGGCACGTAAAAATTTTACTCGCTTTACTTACAGTCTGAGGACTGATTCCCACGTATGTTATAGAGAATATTGTAAAGAATTGAAATAAATACTGCCAGACACTTTTAATGTCGAAAGCAAAAAACGCGTTTTTATGCCACCAACGGATGTTGATTTGTTTAGTTGCGAAGATGTACTATCGGGCAAATGAGGAGTCGTTCGCGCCACCCTCACCGAAGGACTAAACTCTAGGTAATATGAGAATATCTTACCTCGTGTAAATCTGGCAACCTTACTCGCTGGAGAGACTCGCAAAACACTACAGACATTCTATTCTAGTCTTCTGTATAGATTACTTCCAGAGTCGAGTTTTCTGAGAAAACATCAAAAGCTTTTTACGCTCTTTTCTCATAGTACGAGAGCCCACGACCAAAATTTTTGTCTCATAGCAATACGGCCAAAACCGCATCAAATCGATAGATACGATTATCTTGAACTCGAAAATACCAATATCAGACATTTTCCGCGTAGCGTTTGATCTGACCGAATTTTCAAAATTGTCAAAGAATTTTACCGAACTGCATCATAGCAATATGTCTGATTTGCAGACTGTAGTTGAATGATAGTTCTGAGATACCGGAAACATATTTTTCAGACGTTAGTGGTGTAGCGCAAACCCGTAAAATCACTTAAAAAAATTAAAAATGAGACAAAAAAAATGTCTCATAGCAATACGTCTGAAAATCTTTTTTATTAGTAAATTTTGGTTATTTGATGCGAACAAAACAATTCACAGACGGAAATGTGAACGCATTAAAGGAGATTGGTCAAATTGGCCTAAATGCAAATAAAATATTGACATATACAGTAATTCTTGGCGTAATTTATACTTTATTTTACAGTCATTAGATTTTAACGGCCACCTTTAAATAATATATTAATTTTAAAAAAGGACTTCTATTTTTACCGGTTTGGAAAACATACGAATCATTTTTATTGGCTATGGGTGTAGTAACATTCACAAAGACTGATCGAGGTTGTTTATGTAACATCAAAACAAATCTATTTTGTAAAGATTGATAATATATATTTTTTTTTATTACACGGGTGGTATTAATATCCACAACTTTATTATCATTTTTACTACATGCAAATGTGCTAAGACAATTAATATAGATGGTAGGCGACATCATAAAGTCTATTGCCGTACATTTTTTGCCAAACACCTAAATAAACACATTATAAGGTGTGATACACTAAAAATCTAAAATATGGTTATAATAAAAACATAACAAAAATAATGAAGCTGCTGAAGATATGGCTGTATAACCTACAGCTCTTAGCTTTATTTGATTAACGAGAGTTTAAAAATTCTCTCTAATCTGTGGCTCATTCACAATCATCACACAGTTTCTGTTCGTGTTTTTAAAAACATGCACATATCTGTTATTTTACATGCTCTATATACCTGAATCTAATACATAATATCGGTACTTGGCTTGATTGCCCTATTTTCCTATATAAGTTATTTGGTTTTTATTATTCTAATACCTATGTGCCTATTTGCAAACATAACCTCAAAATCATTCAGTGTATATGGTTTATAGAAGTTCTCAGGAGTGGCCGTCGATAATATTCGTTTCTACGGTAATTTATATATAATTTCGAATGTAGGAAACAATTTTTCATAGTTATTGGTTTTTAGGCCAAACATGTATGGAAGCTGAGCAATCTCCTTTTGAGACCGTTTTGAAAATGTTAACAAATTTTACCGATCGGTATCATAGCAATAGGTATGTCTGAAAATTGTTGGACATGATAAAATAAGTTGTCCACATGTGCAAAAAATTTATATCAGACAAATTAAGTGTAGCACCTTCTCTATCAGACAACTTTTCGATACTCAGATATCATTTAAAAATCGTATTGAGGCATCTTGAATTTTCTGTTACAAACCAATGAATACGTTGCGACCATTAATTTATTAGATGATAATTAACATTACACATCATGACATCTGTCATCTGTCAAAGTACATATAATTGACAAGGGAGATTCTTGAATATCTATGAAGGCTGTAAATTTAAAAAAAACATTTAACAGAGGCGTCGACCAGGCGTCTCCGAAACGTTATTTTCGTTTTTGGGAGTATATGCTACACTTAAAGTGTCTGAAAACCGGTTTTTGGTAATCATGGCAGCAATACGAAAAGTTGAAAAAAAAATTATCCGTATTGCTATGATACAGGTCGGCTAAATTTATTGACATTTTCAAAAATGCGCTCCGGCTATATGCTACGCGCAAAATGTCTGAAAACAAACTTTTTCGTAATACAATTATAAAATCTATGTACATTTTCACTATCAGACGTATTGCTATAATACCGACTGTCTTTTTTTTTTGACACAGCAGAAATGGCCTCCCACGCAGTTGCTACACTTTCGACCGTTACTACACACCTAGTCGGGTTCAGAATCATACAATCTTAACGATTTTATAGGGTTTTTGCCGTATTGCTATGAGACATGGTTTTGGTCGTGGGCTCTCGTACTATCAGTAATAGGCGGAAGTTAGTAATTTAGTCATATCTTTTTAACTTGTCATTTATCATCATCATCATTAGCCTATTAATGTCCCCACTACTGAGGCGCAGGCCTTCCTTATATATAGAATAGGGTATTTGACAAGTTTTAGAAAACGATCTCACGTTATTGCCTAATGTTTATGGAGTCCGTATAAAGTGGATATTCATCATTCTGTTGTGTATTTCAGTAAAAATAACCAAATCAAAAACTCCATTTTCAAGTTGCCGCGAAGACGTTTCTCTGGACAATATAGCGTTTTACTAGCGTGTGACGTCACCGGACGTGTTATGAAAACGTCAAACGATACAATGTAATGTCACTAACCGGAAGTTTATTTGCGTGTGACGTCATTTTAGGCTCCGCCATTCCCAAGCGTTTTGGGTCACGTGACAATAAATAAGAAAACTATTATCTTTTTCGTTAATTTTTAGTAAAATTATGATTTTTTTGTAAAAATAGTAAAAATCCCTGCCAATATTCATTCTAAACACAGATGCTAACAATTGGCACTTTATTTTTAACACTGTCAAATACCCTATTGTGCTGTGATGTGACCCACCACGCCAACCCGATGTGGATTGGTGGGTGCTGACAATTGCCGACGCAGTTAGGACCAACGGCTTCACGTGCCTTCTGAAGCACGGAGGAGCTCGATTAAATAAATTATCGGCCATTCATCCGATGAAGGGCGAAAGTTACTTAACTTCCACGATCGCAGACCACAGAACTTTGTTTTTATAATATTATGTATAAAAAATGTAAGAGAAGGTAGGGCATAGCGAATTTTCCGTTCGAATTGGAGCGCCTTTCTGGGGAAGTAATCTCCACCTTACAGAAGACCACAGTAAAACACTACCTTTAGGTGGTGTTGTGTTTCTGTCGGTGAATAAGGTTCCAGGGCTCCGCAGGGTAGGGGATGGGGTCAAGGTAGGCAACGGCACGAGTGATATTTTTTGTATTTCAAGCGTTTATAGGCTGCTTACTGTCAGGCGGGCCCATAAGATTGTTTGCCACCCTTTTAACATAAAAAAAGTCATCAGTACCCCAAGCACGAACAAGCGAGAAAGTATACGTATCGCCTTGTCTGGTTCTATGGAAAAAGTTAGTTTGTTCTTACTTCTAGTACGCGCTGCTTAGTTTCCATAGAAACTTTAACGTTCGCGATAGGCATACGTGCTTGGGCCGCAGTACCCCAAGCACGTATTTTAACAGTTCCGTATCGTATCGTCATCGTCAAATTTTGTATGCAAGGAGCCAGTTCGGCCTTGTACGTCCGGTAGGGGCGCTGATAGTTTCCAAAGAAACTGACGCTGCGATACGATTATGGATCTGTCAAACTTTGCTTGGGTTGATCTTCTTCTTCTTCTTCTTCTTCTTCGAGTGCCTCTTCAACTAGTGACTTGTGATTTCGGTCCATTCCCGGATATTGCTCAGCTACGATTTCTTATTACGTCCAACAACTCTTCTTCCGGCCACTACCCGGGTTACTGATAACATCCTTTTATTTGTTAGGTTCCGTCACCTAGACACGATGGTGCGCCTGAAGAGCCCCGGCACGGCCAGCCGGCGCGGCTCCTCGCCGTGTCCGTCGCCGGAGCGCCGCGCGCCCTCGCCATCCACGCACTGACAGCACAACCTACTCACCAAACGTTAATCTGCATTCAGCGACCTGTATTGATGACGAATAAATTCCCGCGCATTCATGTTTAACTGGCGTTTTACTATAGGTAGCGGCAAACTTTTTGAGCAAAACCACAGACAAATTAACATGCGCAGTAGACGGTTTTGTATGTAAGGTTACAACCAAACCGACCCAAATAAGGCCTACCTTAATTTTCTTATTATGTAACTAGCGGGTTTATAATAACAATGCACTGAACAAATATTGCTTTATGTTTCTAATCACACTTTTATGAACTATGAACAATCTCCTGAACAGTAAAATATTTTATCAGCGGGTGTGTGTCCAACAAACACATCATGATACCAAACGCCACAAGTAGTACCAAGAACGTTACCAGCAGAGAAGTAGTCTATACTGAGGTTCACTGACGCGTTGCAGCAGCTGCAGATTGTGCAAAAGGTACAGCCCGTAACTGACACTGATTTTGGTGTCTTTGTGCTAATCTTTATTATTGATGAAATACCAGGAACATCTTCTACTCTTGACGATGGTACAGTCATCTGTGATGTGGAATTCATAGCACTGGCAACAAACAAATCTTTTGTTACCTCTTGAGCCCTGTAATTCAGGTACTTCTTGACTTCTTTCGTGGAGCAGTCGCTACAGCTTTAAACTTAGGAGTTGGTAAAAAATCATGAATTTCACACGTGTTTGATTGACTGTCTATCTATGAGTTCCAGCATTCGAATTGTTGTTTGAGAGCAAAGACACTGGCAAGTCTCAGTATCTGTGCCTGACCCATCTAAATCTTCCATTTTTGCAGTTGATATCTCTTGTTCCCCCGATTCATCAGATAAGTCAGCAATATTCTATTTGTAGGAATTGGAAGTTCTAACAACGCAGAGGGCATAAACGCCTCTTCAGTAATAGCATCTGGGTTATATGGATATAACCCTGTAGCGGGAAACCCATTCGAGATATTGGTAATAGTCATACATTTCGGCCATTCTTGTGAGAGAATGACGTTGAAGCTTGTCTTCTTAAGGGTTTGTTCGGGATGCTGACTGACGTATTTAATCAACTCTTGGTCCCAATGCTGCTCAAAAGAATGATAAACAGATTTATCCATGGGCTGTAACTCGTGCGTGGTATTTGACGGAAGACAATAAAAGTAATGCCACATTTCTCAACTTCCTCAACAAAAGTCCAGATGGCATATTGCACCATCAAATATGAGGAGACATGGCCCTGATGTTCTGTATATGCAAATGATTAATAAACCCTATGAAAGTTTCTGTGGTTAAACCTCCTTTTGGCGTCTATACCATCTTCACCAGAGAGGCTGGAAGTCAATTGTCTTGGAATTCTGGCTTTGGTCTCTTGTTTTTGAAGAATATCATTGGCGGAATAGCTTATCCTATTATATATGATAGCATTTCCGCAGCCTACCACAGTCACACTTTCAGCATGCTCATTCGCTATTTGATGAACGCTTTTTCTACCTTTGGCTGTCAGAACAACGTATATTAAGCTAGCAGACCATGGTCGCAACGCGCACATCTAACCTACTGGGTATTTAGTTGCTAATTAGTTGCTAATTAGTTACACTATTCCCGATTTAGTTGCTCAACACCTGTAAAAGATACATGCGATCTGCTAGCTTAAGTCTTAACCTAGCAGACCACAATACTGTATCTTCGGTTCTCGTAAAGATATCGAAGTTCTGCAAACGGCATATTTAGTTGCTAATTTGTTGCTAATTAGTTACACTATTCCCGATTTAGTTGCTCAACACCTGTAAAAGATACATGCGATCTGCTAGCTTAAGTCTTAACCTAGCAGACCACAATACTGTATCTTCGGTTCTCGTAAAGATATCGAAGTTCTGCAAACGGCATATTTAGTTGCTAATTAGTTGCTGTAGGACAGCATTATTTGTTTTATCCCCCCATCATCCCTTAATTGCCGTACCAGCACCCACACTACCCCCGAAATACGAAAAATTTAAAAAGGGCTCATCAGAGAATATAAACTATGGCGTATTTCGTTGCTAACTAGTTGCTGCAAAATAGCGTTGCTTATAGTATTTAACTATCAACCCTTAACTCCAAATCAGCACTGCAACCACCCCCGAATAGGACTATATCGGAAAATTCTCGTAGGTGGAAAAAGACGCGGCATATTTAGTTGCTAATTAGTTGTTTGCCAAAAACGCAGTTAAGAGTATTCTACAATCATCCCCTAACCTCAGATGCAACCCCTCTACTCACTTAGAAACAGTAGATGGTTAAAATTCGCACGCAGTTGTTTAAGACTGCTGGATGTTTTGTTGTTAATTAGTTACTGAAAAATAGCGTTGCTTATAATATTTGATTATCAACCCTTAACTCCAGATCATCCCTGCAACCACCCCAGAATAGAACAATATCGGAAAATTCTAGTAGGTGGAAAATAGACGCGGCATATTTAGTTGCTAATTAGTTGCTCGCCAAAAACGCAGTTAAGAGTATTCTACAATCATCCCCTAACCTCAGATCCAACCCCTCTACTCACTTAAAAATAGTAGATGGTTCGAATTCGCACGCAGATGTTTAAAACAGCTGGATATTTTGTTGTTAATTAGTTGCTCGCCAAAAACACAATTAAGAGTATTCTATAATCATCCCCTAACCTCAGATCCATCCCCTCTACTCACTTAGCAACAGTAGATGATTGGAATTCGCACGCGGATGTTTAAAACTGCTGGATGTTCTGTTGCTCATTAGTTGCTCGCCAAAAACGCAGATAAGAGTATCCTACAATCATCCCCTAACCTCAGATCCACCCCCTCTACTCACTAAAAATAGTAGATGGTTCGAATTCACACGCAAATGTTTCAAACTGCTGGATATTTTGTTGCTAATTAGTTGCTGCAAAATAGCGTTGCTTATAATATTTGATTATCATCAAAATATCCAGCAGTTTTAAACATCTGCGTGTGAATTCGAACCATCTACTATTTTTTAGTGAGTAGAGGGGGTGGATCTGAGGTTAGGGGATGATTGTAGGATACTCTTATCTGCGGTTTTGGCGAGCAACTAATTAGCAACTAAATATGCCACGTCTATTTTCCACCTACGAGAATTTTCCGATATCGTCCTATTCTGGGATGGTTGCAGGGATGATCTGGAGTTAAGGGTTGATACTCTTATCTGCGTTTTTGGCGAGCAACTAATTAGCAACAGAACATCCAGCAGTTTTAAACATCCGCTTGCGAATTCCAACCATCTACTGTTTCTAAGTGAGTAGAGGGGTTGGATCTGAGGTTAGGGGATGATTGTAGAATACTCTTAACTGCGTTTTTGGCGAGCAACTAATTAGCAACTAAATATCCCGCCGCTTTTTTCCACCCTACGAGAATTTTCCGATATCGTCCTATTCTGGGGTGGTTGCAGTGCTGATTTGGAGTTAAGGGTTGATAGTTAAATACTATAAGCAACGCTATTTTGCAGCAACTAATTAGCAACAAAATATCCAGCAGTTTTAAACATCTGCGTGTGAATTCGAACCATCTACTATTTTTTAGTGAGTAGAGGGGGTGGATCTGAGGTTAAGGGATGATTGTAGGATACTCTTATCTGCGTTTTTGGCGAGCAACTAATTAGCAACAGAACATCCAGCAGTCTTAAACATCTGCGTGCGAATTTTAACCATCTACTGTTTCTAAGTGAGTAGAGGGGTTGCATCTGAGGTTAGGGGATGTTTGTAGAATACTCTTAATTGCGGTTTTGGCGAGCAACTAATGAGCAACAGAACATCCAGCAGTTTTAAACATCCGCGTGCGAATTCCAACCATCTACTGTTTCTAAGTGAGTAGAGGGGTTGCATCTGAGTTTAGGGGATGTTTGTAGAATACTCTTATCTGCGGTTTTGGCGAGCAACTAATTAGCAACTAAATATGCCGCGTCTATTTTCCACCTACGAGAATTTTCCGATATCGTCCTATTCTGGGATGGTTGCAGGGATGATCTGGAGTTAAGGGTTGATACTCTTATCTGCGTTTTTGGCGAGCAACTAATTAGCAACAGAACATCCAGCAGTTTTAAACATCCGCTTGCGAATTCCAACCATCTACTGTTTCTAAGTGAGTAGAGGGGTTGGATCTGAGGTTAGGGGATGATTGTAGAATACTCTTAACTGCGTTTTTGGCGAGCAACTAATTAGCAACTAAATATCCCGCCGCTTTTTTCCACCCTACGAGAATTTTCCGATATCGTCCTATTCTGGGGTGGTTGCAGTGCTGATTTGGAGTTAAGGGTTGATAGTTAAATACTATAAGCAACGCTATTTTGCAGCAACTAATTAGCAACAAAATATCCGGCAGTTTTAAACATCTGCGTGTGAATTCGAACCATCTACTATTTTTTAGTGAGTAGAGGGGGTGGATCTGAGGTTAAGGGATGATTGTAGGATACTCTTATCTGCGTTTTTGGCGAGCAACTAATTAGCAACAGAACATCCAGCAGTCTTAAACATCTGCGTGCGAATTTTAACCATCTACTGTTTCTAAGTGAGTAGAGGGGTTGCATCTGAGGTTAGGGGATGTTTGTAGAATACTCTTAATTGCGGTTTTGGCGAGCAACTAATCAGCAACTAAATATGCCGCGTCTATTTTCCACCTACGAGAATTTTCCGATATCGTCCTATTCTGGGGTGGTTGCAGGGATGATCTGGAGTTAAGGGTTGATAATGAAATATTATAAGCAACGCTATTTTTCAGCAACTAATTAACAACAAAACATCCAGCAGTCTTAAACATCTGCGTGCGAATTTTAACCATCTACTGTTTCTAAGTGAGTAGAGGGGTTGCATCTGAGGTCAGGGGATGTTTGTAGAATACTCTTAATTGCGGTTTTGGCGAGCAACTAATTAGCAACTAAATATGCCGCGTCTTTTTTCCACCTACGAGAATTTTCCGATATCGTCCTATTCTGGGGTGGTTGCAGGGATGATCTGGAGTTAAG